TCTGTGCCTCTACCGAAATAGGTTCCACGATATGGGGATAATTTCCACTGCATAAATTACAGGGACCGATGATTCTCCGCTAAGAAGCTGACCAATGAGGCCCCATGTACACAGGTCCCCTTAAAGGCTTTTCCACAAACATTTTTTTTTCAAGGCACTACCAGGCTAACAAAAATGGCGCAACAAAATGAAGGATTTTGATTGGTTTACTCTGCGTGAAAGGAAACGCTTGCGCTTTCGCAATGAAAGGTTATATGATAACTGCGCTGCGATAAAGGCACATATCCTGCAGACTGCGCAGGGATATGCGGAATTATCCTAAGGTGTAAAATATAATATATTTCTCATAGAGGCATAAATTGAATTATCTGTGATAATATTGTTTTTGAATTTTGGTTTTATATTGATATGTTAAATATCTTAATGAGTCATATATCGAGTCCATATTTTGTTTCGCTTCAGTGAGTTTTGATTCAATATTTTTAAATTTTATTGGATCGGATTTTTGTTGATTGTAAGAGAAAAGTATAGCTGGACTGAGTGCAAAAGCTTACAGGATGCTTGTAAATAATGTTAATTCCAAGGTTTTTATAAATCGAAGTGCTTAAGTAACTGTAAGTCTACTTTTAATCACGTATTTTAACTTTTCGCGACTTTTGTAGCCTACAAACGTATATTTTAATCTTTTAATGCTGAGAACAATATATATATATATATATATATATATATATATATATATATATATATATATATATATATATATATATATATATATATATATATATATAAAAATTATTTTAAATAAATAAAAACACAGAGAACGAGTAAAACATAAGCGCTTTCATTTCTTCTTCATGATGTTTTACAATACTCATGGTAACGTCTATTATGACGTCATAATAACTTAACGTTAACAAGTCTTTGATTGACGTCATATTTTTCCCGTACTTTTACAGAACAATGCATTAACGAAGCATACAAAAACAAAGCAATGAATGTGACTCAGTAAGATAATTTACATGTAAAGAAACAATACTTTTACATTAAACTACATGTATTTAATTTAGGTTTGAAAGTCCTTATAAAATGTCTTTCTTTATCACGTCTTTCGATTGTATTAGAATTGTGCAGCTTATAAAATGGAAAGACACTAAAAGTTCTATTTCCGCACACGTCTAAGTGTTCACTGACTTTCAGTTTGCGATATTGAGGTACGTTTATTTGTTGTTTGTGTACTCTGATCCTTTCCCGTAAGGTACTTCCCGTCTCGCCGATATATAGTTCCCCGCAACCGGAACATGTTATAACGTATATAACATTTCTAGTTTGACATGACATGTTATTAGTAACGATAAACTGTTTCCCGTTAAAGTTGAAACTTTGTCCTTGTCGTATCTAAAATTCATAAACAGTAGGAGGCAGCCGAAGAACCTCAGACGAATTCTTACAAAGTCCTCTTTTAAAGAAACGACAGAATTTCATGTGACTAAGTGCCAGGATCCGCGTTGTGGTACCTGCCCATACATACGACAAGGACAAAGTTTCAACTTTAACGGGAAATAGTTTATCGTTACTAATAACATGTCATGTCAAACTAGAAATGTTATATACGTTATAACATGTTCCGGTTGCGGGGAACTATATATCGGCGAGACGGGAAGTACCTTACGGGAAAGGATCAGAGTACACAAACAACAAATAAACGTACCTCAATATCGCAAACTGAAAGTCAGTGAACACTTAGACGTGTGCGGAAATAGAACTTTTAGTGTCTTTCCATTTTATAAGCTGCACAATTCTAATACAATCGAAAGACGTGATAAAGAAAGACATTTTATAAGGACTTTCAAACCTAAATTAAATAGTTTAATGTAAAAGTATTGTTTCTTTACATGTAAATTATCTTACTGAGTCACATTCATTGCTTTGTTATTGTATGCTTTGTTAATGCATTGTTCTGTAAAAGTACCGGAAAAATATGACGTCAATCAAAGACTTGTTAACGTTAAGTTATTATGACGTCATAATAGACGTTACCATGAGTATTGTAAAACATCATGAAGAAGAAATGAAAGCGCTTATGTTTTACTCGTTCTCTGTGTTTTTATTTATTTAAAATAATTATTATATTTATCACCGACCACTGTGATTTTTCTGGGATTTATCTATATATATATATATATATATATATATATATATATATATATATATATATATATATATATTTATATTTATATTTATATATGTTTCCATTTCCAATTGTTTTCTCTATGATAAACACTACAAAAGTGTATCTTGTTTATTTCATGATAATACCCTATGGTATGTATATTTCTTTATTACTGAAAGGTCAAGTGTCAACCTGCCTGTATATCACTGGCGTATAAATATACTAAAAAAATAGATGTTTTAATTGTTTACTAAGTAATTTGATATGATGTATATTTTTTTAACAAACAAAATAAATAATGAATTTTCTTCGGCTCGAAAGCAAGTCACGTGTGCAACGCTGTTCACTATGACCGAGGCCTCGCGAGTCCGAGAACACCACTTCCGTAACAGCCACCTGGAGAAATTGACATTGCCACATGGACCTGCACGTACTCCATCATCTGATACAGATATCGTCCCTTAGTCATTACCATCCGACTTCTTAAGCAACTCAACTTCTTCTGTTATTATAACATCCATACAAATCGGTTTCCTGACCATGCTGACCAGCTCCCGTTTCAGCAACATTGCATTCAATATGGCGGCGGAAAAGTGACATAGTGCCTATTTATGTTCGTGCTTCCGACAACCTAGATCTACGTCACGTATATAATTAAAGTCAATAAGATTACTTTGATCATCATTTAAAATTATTTTGTTGTTTATTTTATAAATGTTGATATTTGACGACGGTATATATAAATAGTCTATAAATTTGTTTTGTTTTTTTGGGACTATTTTCTATAGTAAAATTTGACGTCATGGGGCCTTGTGCGTTCCAAATCTACTCAATTAGACGGTATTTTGATTTATTTTAAGATGGTTATTTCAAGTAAAAATGGAAATATAAGGAATCACTGTCTAGTTTTGAGGGTATGTTTGCCCGTTATGCTAAAATTATCCCCTGTTTCCCACTATTGTTGATGCCCTGGCATATATATATATATATATATATATATATATATATATATATATATATATATATATATATATATATATATATATATATATATATATATTATGGAAATTAATAAGGGAACGCATATTTACTATTACCTAATGTTTAGCATCTCTCATTTGTTCGAGGCTCTATGTAGCTTTTGTAAACAGAAAGTTTTAGGTTTTCTTTTACTCAATAAGAATCCTTGCTATTGAAAATTGATTTCCATGATTTTCACGCATGATTAGTTGATTACGCCCATTTAACACTTCAGTAGACGACAATTGTCTGTATACCCGTTCTTTGAGCATCATGCCAAGAACATACCTTTCTGAAAATCAAAAATGGCTGGTTATCGGATGCATTAACGGAGGTCAATCAATATGCCAGACTGCTAGACAATTTAACAAGTCAAAGAGTGTGATTTCACGTCTTTGGAACCGTTACCGCCAGACAGGGAGCATACAAATTAGACCAGGTCGTGGTTCCAAACGTAAAACAACAGTGCGTAATGACCGGGAGCTGGTGCTGCTTTCCCTATGTAATAGGTTCAAACCAGCATCGAAAATAAACTCCGAGTTCAGGGCAGCAAGAGGAATAAGAATTTGTGACCGTACTGTCAGAAACAGATTTAAAGCAGCAGGTCTAAAGTCACGTCGTCCTGTTGTTGGAGTGAGGATGACTGCTAAACACATGCGTCTAAGAAGAGCATGGGCTACACAACATCAAGCAAGACAACTTCGACATTTGCGCTATACCATGTTCAGCGATGAACCTAGGTTCAATTTGGACTTTGCAGACGGTCGGATTCGCGTTTGGCGACGCCTTCGTGAACGTCATCATCAGTGTACCATCAAACAACATGATTCCTATGGTGGTGGTTCGGTGATGGTTTGGGGTGGCATAACCTACGACCACAGAACTGACCTTGTTCGACTGGATGGAAGGGTGACTGGTGTCCGTTACCGAGATGAAGTGTTGCAGCCTGTTGTTCTTCCTTTCCGCCAAGAGTGGGCGTAAATTTTGAGATTCAACACAATAATGCTCGACCCCAGACGTCTCACGTCAGCAGGGATTTTCTGAGGCAGAACAACATCAGAGTGTTACAATGGCCATCCAAAAGTCCAGACCTCAACCCCATTGAACACCTCTGGGATGTTCTTGGACGTCGGGTTATGGACCGTGATGCCCCACCACAGACAGTTGGTGCCATGTTCCAGGCTCTTCAGGAAGAGTGGCGCGCAATTCCTCGAGCTGAAATACGGAAGTTGATACAGAGTGTTCCACGGCGATGTTAGGAAGTGATTAAAAAGCAGGGAGGACACACTAGATACTAATACTGTACTTGGAAAACATGTATTTAGTCAAATATTCTTGATTAGAATCCACTGACAATAAAGCAAATTTACTAGGCTGATTATTCGCTGTGGCCCCAAACTATCCCGGGGTCATGATTTGAACAAAATTGAATCTACATTACCAGAGGATGCTTCGATAATAGTGCAATTTTACCTGACCCGACCCAGTGGTTCTTAAGAGAATGATATTCCAATCATGCCTCTATATATATTTACTATTTCTTAATTATCCCCCCCTCCTTGAAAAAGAGTGGACACTTCATTTGAAAGAAACGTGAATTGCCTTTGTGGCAAGTGTGGTTGAAACTGACCCAGTTTGTTCTCGAGAAGAAGTCAAAAATGTTAAAAGTTTAAAAGACAGACTTACTGACAGCTATAGACAGCTAGACGCATGGACAGGGGGGCTACAGACAAAAACTTGATAAAAAAAAGCTCACTTGACGTTCACTTCATTAGGGCAATTTAGAATTAGATGGGGATCAAAGAAAGAGATCAATCTTTTGATTTAAAAATGAATAAATATGTTTACCTAACTAAGCTAAAATAGTAATTTCTAGAATCAAATTAAATAAACATTGACTACGTACCTTCTAGCCATCGTAAAACGTTTGTAAGCTGAATGCTACACCAATTTCCATTCTCTATGAAACCTTTTAGATATTCCAGGCAAATTGATCTACTCAAGAAAATTAATGTCACAACTGGTAATTCAGTGAACAAATAAAATTAATTAAAAATTGAAATAACCATTCCTCAAAGTTTGAGGGCGGGAAAGGTAATTAATTTTAAAGTAAAACTTTAAAGTAAAAGATTCAAGCAAACACTTTGTCTTGTGAAAAAAGACATATAAATCAATTTTGTCAAAAATTTCTTAATCATTGATCCTCAGTTTGTTAAAACTCAAATTAAACAAAGATATTTTAAAGGTTGACCAAATGTTGCAAATCTACTGGCAAGTAAATGATATTTCCTTATTTCCCTTTTTCCTTTGCTATAAGTGCTATAACGTTATACAGTTTTAATTTCAGTTTTCTTTGGGGAACAGGAAATGCTCAAATATAAGTAAAAATTATAATACCATTTCATTCAAAACAATTATCGTTGTTCTAGGTAGATATTATATGGCAGGGATACTTAGGACGTAAAGCTTAATTTCAATTTTATTCCTATTATACATGAACCGATCTGTTTTAATTTGTCTTTTCTTTTTCAGTAATGCATACATGTTCTAATAGAGCAAGAAAAAATTGCCCCATGTTAATATTTAAAAAAAAACACCACTTAAAGCATTATTGAGATGATCAGGTATGCTAAACTAAAGTTATTTCTCTTGTAATTTAATTTAGTTTCCTTAGATATCCTTAAAGTTCTAAGTTTACCAACTCTGCTCGATTTTTTAGATTCCGAGGATTTTTTGCTTTCTGTCATTCAAATGATAAACAATGTTTTTTTTTTCCTTTCTTGGTCATTTTACAAACATAGAGGATAAGGCTTTTTCATTTCTTTATTGAAGATCGGTGAAGAGCTTCAAGAGATACTGATTTGACAGAGACATTTAGTATAAAACTTACATTGGATATGCTAACATTAAAAAAAGAAAACGATGGATTTATGAATCCTCCTTTTGAATAAAATGTCTGACATGTAAAAAGACAAACTTAATATTATGAAACTGCCACTATTAAGTTCTTCAATCAAAATTTTGTTTCTATGAGGTTAAATCAATCAGAATCTTACCTTGTAAATTTAATTGAATATACATGTACTTCATGAATTGACAGGAGAAGTATAACTGCATGTGAAAACGCCCGAAAACCTGAATGTTAACATAAATATGAAGAACAAAATTTATAGCATGTATAATCAAAATCTGAACAGAAGTAAGATTGCTTAAATAATATTGATCTAATACATTTAATAGCTTTTTGATTTGTAATTATGCTAAATATAACTATCAGTCATTAATTTATGAACTATATAAAATGTCTATTCTAGAAAAAAATGAAGTAAAGCTGAAGTACTTAAAGTATTAAAGTAATGAGATACTACTCGATGACTGATGTACATAATTTAAAGATGTAATAAAAACAAGTGTGTGTTCAATTTGTAAACCGTAAAAAAATACTGAAATGAAAGATATATTGCTATTGCAGGCATTTTTATGACATCGGTCGACAGCAAAACCATATTTTATTGAGCTGGATTGGACTGTTTCAGTAAAGTGTATAAAACATATGGATTCTCGATCGAAAATTAGACAATTCATCAGAAGTCATTTCGTAATAACCAAGAAGTAGCCAAAACATAAAACATTTCCTCTAAATTTTAGAAAAAGTAAAATAAAAACATTTTTTATTGAGTTTGGAGGTTTTCCTAAAAAAAAAATAACTTTCAACATTAATTGCAAGTTACTCTCATACGACCGGTACCTAATCAGTTCAAAGCCAAAACTTTATAAAACACACTAATTTACAAATGTATAAACCTGGTCCAAGCTAATGAAAATGTTATTTTTTTTCAATCATATTCTGTTTGTCACGTCTGCATGTTCGATATCACCATTAATTAACATTTAAGATTTTTTTCTTATTGTTTATTATTTAAGAAAAGTTATTATTATTATGGAATTTTTTTTTTCTTAAAGTACATCAAACTTTGAAGTGATAATGTCCTGAATCTGCGATAAGGTAGTGCTCATGAAACTAAAGACCAGCTTTATTTCTGAGATATAAAACGTCTGTCGCGAGATCCAAGTAGATGTTCTATCCATTAGTTGCCCAATTAACTGAAACCATGACAAACCAATACAATGCATAAACACCCTATACAATTTAATTAAACAATGAAACATATTAAGATACCGAATAGTATTCAAGCTCAAAAGTCCATAAAATAATGCAAAATAGGCGCAGAGCAAACACGGCCGTACAAAACATTAGAGGCGGGATGGGGTGCCAAAGACGAATTAGCATCCCCGTCCGGCAGGTCACATCCGCCGTGTGTTTATCGTCATGATCGAGAAATAATGGAAAAAGTCCGTCGTCATTACAGGGTGTAAATAATAGACGAACAAATAGTATGAAAAACGTCAGTCAGCATTTGACTCAATGATAAATTGTATTTGATGACAAGGAAATTGTATCGAACAAAGAACATAGAAGAATATTTAGGAGAAAGAAATCTTAATGAATATTTCTTCTCAAGAACAGCTTAGCCATTATTGTTATTGATATGGAAGCATCGTTACGTAGTTTAGAATTTAAGCTCTCGCCCCTTTAATTTAAAATTTTCAATGCTGAAATAATATGTGTTTCTTTCTGCCAATGAGCTTATTAGAGAGATGAGGGCAATAGTCCTCTTGTTTAATAAATATAACAAACTTCATTTGTATTTCGTGCATTAGGACCCTCTCCCTCTCTCTCACAGAGAGAGAAAGAGACAGAGAGAGAAAGAGAAAGAGAGAATAAAAAGAACAGGATGAGATATTTATCTTACTTTGTAATCTTCCAGTCATTGTTCTGATAAAACATTGATATTAACTTTTTAGAGTCTTTCTTTAAAGTGACTACCGGTATAATAAAATGGAGATTTTCAGATATTAACTTCCTTTTTCTGACCCGTTTCTTTCTGACGCAGTTCGCTGATTTAAATACAAACAAAGTGAATTGAATCCCATCTGAGTTAAAAATGAACACCGTAAAGAATGTTTAAAAAAGGAATGTTGTTAATTTTTTTCTGAAGTCAAAAATATATTAGTACAAAAATATATATATTATAGGGTACAGGTGTATCATCAACTTGAAATATGATGCATCATGATATTATATTGCAAAAAATACCAGTAACTAATGTTAAGAGAAATCAACATCTCAAGTCATAGTATTAAAAAAATCAATAAATGCAAATGAAGGACTTGATTACTACAAATGGCGAACTTAATATACAACTGTTAGCGAGAAATCAACACACTAAAACTGTCAAGTAGAAGCAGGAAAAATTAAATCAAATTTTATTACAGTATGAAAGATTTTTAATATAAGGCAGTTGAGGCGCTGTATACACAAACAACATGCATGTTACGAAAAAAACATGCATGAAAACAATGCACGCTTGAAAAAATATACGAGACTAAAGTAGACGTGTGTTTATTTATAATACTTTTTCAGAAAAAATAAATGATGAAAAGATCTTTCATATATAATTAACGAGGAATGCTATCAAAAGATATTTGAAAGTGCAAAAAGTAACAATTAATGAAATTGTGCTATATATATTCAAACATTGACACAATGCAGGTGACTTCAATATTGAGATTGACTAGTACACTGCATCCTTGTTCACTTCATTTAATCAAACATTCAATTTTAGCCATAAGAACATTTGCTATAAAGTACATTTGCATTTATTGCGTTGATAAAGAGTTTTAAAAAATTCATATGATTAAGGAGAAACAATTGTTCTTATGAGAGAGAGAGAGAGAGAGAGAGAGAGAGAGATTGATCTACACTTTTCAAGTTAATATTGCATAGTCTTTATTTTTATTTTAAAATAGCATTTATCTAAACTTGTATATGTGTAACCTCATGATTTTTAATTTAGATCTTCAAATATTTTCTTCCTTCTTCTGGCATTCTTGTAAATGAAACTAAAAAAGGATTATTTTATTAATATTGTAACGGGTAGCGTATTTGGCCATGCCTACTATAGCCGAATCAGAGGGGATGTTGGAAAGTGGACTCTTCCAATAGGCTGATCACCCCTCTAAGTAGGTAGAATGGTCTAAAGGTATATAAATGAGACGCTCGCAGCTGCCAGGCATTATTATGCTGACGGAATCAGACTGAATCAGTTGTTCAGATGGGAAGATAGAAGAAGAAAGCGCAAGGTAATAAAGTCATTACTTGAAATAAAGAAATAAAGCAAAGGTTAGAAGCGCATTAGTGGAAAGTGAACAGTCTAGAGGAATTGTGGTGAGGTATCAGGGCGAAGTAATTCTGCATAAGGGTGAAAGAACCTGGTACTTCACATTACAATAGGAACTCTGGCTGTTCCAGGAGCACAGTGCAGGTTACCTTGCTTATGAACCACGGCCTACCACTTCAATTTATTGTACATAGTTCTAATTAATAATAACTCAGATAGAGTAAGAGGAAAAACACATATATATTAGTAAAGGACCCTTGTCCCTTGTAGAACCCAGTAGGTTTACACGTTACATTTTTGTGGCAGCCGGTCAAAGGATAGGGTGTTTAATTCAGTTTGATTTTCATTAGATTTAATAATATTGTAGAAAATTCTTGATTTTGTAATTGTTACTTGTTTGGGGTAGGCTGTTTAGAAAAGACCAAGTGCCGTAAAGGTACCACGTACAATTTAGGATCCATGACACTTTACCTATATAGAAGAAAGAACTTTGTTCAAGGGTACTGTGTCCTATGTACTCGGTTACTTTGTATCAGGAACCGTGTTCTGTTTCATGATAAAGGGTACTGGGTATCTGTTTACAGTATACAGAGCTGTTTTGTAAAGTGTTTAAGAAAAGTCCGGTACTATCATTAAGATGAATATACCGACACTGGAAAAGGAAATTTTAGGGGATCTCGAGGAGATAGATGACAAGAGGCAAAAACTTAGTGAGACGTTAGAGACTTTAAGATCTACACCGTCCATTCACAAATCCAAGGAAATCCCATTTTCTGTGATTCGAGACTCGGGTGTAGACATGAAGCAGGAAAACGTAGACGATACAGCAGATGAGTTTTGTCAAAAGTACTTACGTCCGTCTTACCCCACCAGTAGTACCTACTGTCGTAACACAGGGACTACGGCGGCTAACTACAGAGGATGGGAAACTCCGAAATATACCTCTGTTAATCCAGAGGTACGAGGTGATCGACCAAAGGATGGTAGTTATGATCTGCACAAAGACACTTGGAGCAAGGGCTTTCTTGATAAAGATTATCAATTTTACCACAGATTTTCAACACCTAGGCCACATTCTGAATTACCGGAAACCAAGGTTACGACAACTCCAACAAGTGTTACGTGGAGCTTCACAAAAGACAGTAGTCCACTGGCTAGTGCATACCAAAGTAGGCGAACCGAAGTAACGCCGAACCAAAGCACCAGTAGTGAACAGTTTGGGAAGACTGTGATGAAACCGGCTACATTTGATGGAAATGGTTCATGGATAGACTATAGGGCGCATTTTGAAGCATGCAGTAACATTAACATGTGGAACGCATGAGAACATGAGAAAAATGAAAACAGTGTTTGAAACAGTTTTGTGTACATATTCCTAAATAAGATACAAGAAGTATTTTTAATTCAATTTAAGGAACGATATTCCCCCTTGTTAAAACACTGAGTCCATGTATAAATGTAACTTTGTATGTTTGTCTATTAATAAGAAAAGTTTAAAAAAAAAGTTTAAGTTTGTTGATCATTAGCCATGCGAGACGCATGTTCATGGAGGCGTTGGTAGTGTAATGGTTAGCGTATTTGGCCATGCCTACTATAGCCGAATCAGAGGGGATGTTGGAAAGTGGACTCTTCCAATAGGCTGATCACCCCTCTGAGTAGGTAGAATGGTCTAAAGGTATATAAATGAGACGCTCGCAGCTGCCAGGCATTATTATGCTGACGGAATCAGACTGAATCAGTTGTTCAGATAGGAAGATAGAAGGAGAAAGCGCAAGGTAATAAAGTCATTACTTGAAATAAAGAAATTAAGCAAAGGTTAGAAGCGCATTAGTGGAAAGTGAACAGTCTAGAGGAATTGTGGTGAGGTATCAGGGCGAAGTAATTCTGCATAAGGGTGAAAGAACCTGGTACTTCACATTACAATAGGAACTCTGGCTGTTCCAGGAACACAGTGCAGGTTACCTTGCTTATGAACCACGGCCTACCACTTCAATTTATTGTACATAGTTCTAATCAATAATAACTCAGATAGAGTAAGAGGAAAAACACATAAATATTAGTAAAGGACCCTTGTCCCTTGTAGAACCCAGTAGGTTTACACGTTACAATATTTTTAAAGGGATATGTACCTGTGTGTACCTGTCCGGATCATACACTGAATACTTTAAAATGGTTTCTATGAAGACAACCATTTATAAAGAAAAAGAAGAGTTTTTGTTAGATTGTAATCTGTTTGCTGTTGACAGCTCAAGTGAACTTTTCTGATCAAATTTTGTCTGTAGTCTGCCAGGAAAAATTTGAACAATTTCAACTTCTGTTAGTAATAAAGAACAACCGGACCAACTCTATCCAACTTCTAGGGTAAAGGGAATTCAAGTTTCTGGAAATGAAAGACAGTGTCTTCTTTTATGGAGATAATTGAAATTTAATGATGAACACTTATTGACAACTTTAAAAAATTTAAATCTTCCTTTGAATAGCCATTAGACTAGGAAAGATAAAAAATATGGGAAATATCCTTGTGCAATGTACATTGTAGATACAAAATCATGACTCCGGGGATAGTGTGGGGCCAAAATGGACGAGCACAGATTTACGTTGGAATGCATCGGAAAATTATTTATAACCTTCGTCATCATCACAGCGATGCTATGATTATAAGTCATATTTATATTGATATAAATATTAAAATAAATATCCTCAGATCATATAGATTCATGTTTGTTCATATAATAACCAGGGGTAATGGTATTATTATAATTAACTTTCAACATTTACCTGATTGCTGCTTTTTCTCCAAGGTACAGTGCCCTGGTGAGCAATGTAGCCTATGTGTCTCTTATTGATCATTCTATCCATGAGCTTTTAATTGTTTTATTGTTCTATCTTATTTAAGAGAAAAATCAAAACCATATACATGTACAATGTATTGTATAAGTCAATTGATTACAAGATATAAGTATTTATCAAGTGACAGCCTTTACTGACAGGAAATTTTTGAAATAAGGCTATTCCTACGTACTTGAAGTACAATGGATGATGCATTATTATCAAAATGATACTCAAAGTACTCCCCGTTATTGATCTGCTAAGCATTCCCTTAAAATTAATATTTCAAAATTGTTAGTGATTTTGAAAATTTTGTAATTTTGTATGAATTTCATGCACACAGACAAAGCAATACATAAATGGCAATCTCGCAATATTTGTTCAGATTAATTTTTTTATCTACGATATTCACAATTGATGCTCCAGGAAACAGATTATTATGGTTCTATTTTTTTTTATTTTGAGCATTGTTCTGTACATTAACATGCAAAATTCAAATTTTGACCCTCATTGATTAATTCTCAATTTTTATGATGAAAACTTATGCATGTTAAAGTAGCAGGGATGCTTAGTTTTAGTTAAGCTATTCCTTGGTAGCAGTGATGTTTAGTTTGGGTTCATCTATAACTATTCTTTTGCCGCATTGATGCTTACTATAGCAAACCATTTTTATTTTTAATTCAATTTTTGTGCAAATTTGAATGAAAAATGAAAAACTACGTGGTGAAAGTCATTCATTTTATTCACTTAAACATGACCAAAGTTGTTATTTTCAAATTCTTTTACATAGGTTTAATTTGTTTGTACATGTATCATCTGTCTTTAATAAGTACATGTCAAGGCACAGAGTTAATAAAGATGAAAAAAATTAACTAATTGTTTTTGCAATGGATGTTATAACCATTTAAAATGCACTATTGTAAAAATGATTTTTTTTTATCTTA